CTATGGGACTGCAAAATATTATTTTCTACTTTTTAGTTCATTTGTTTCTAAAGAAACTAAGTTTAATTACAGTTCTATATACTTATTAAGAACAAAATGGCGGATTTGTAACCTTTTTTATAAAAATTATGGAGGTGGTTGTGAAGAAGTTGTGCTACTTATAAAGTTTAAAAGTTTTGTTTTGTTTTAATACGGCATTATAGACGAAAACCTACGTAAATTTTTGGGAAAGTTTCAGGTTTAAACAGCAAGTAGTTCCAAAGTTATAACAATATTATGATGACACCCATGAGAGGGAGCTCGCATCTAGATGACAAATACTTTTACATAGCACTTATGCAAGTAATATCCCAGTAAGAACAGTATCTGTAAAATTATAAGTTATATAGCCCATAGTACTACAAAAAGTATGCGTGAGAAATTCAAAAACTTTCCATCATTTCATGAAGGGCTGTGGGACAAAACTCACGGATACTCTGCTGTACATGTGAGCATCTTTCCTTTTTGGTTGCATGGAATTTTACTATTATGTTCCAACCTGCTATTGTTAAGAGGTATATAATGTGATAACTAACATATCGGGCATCGCATAAATATTGCGTAGTATTAGCGTGTAATAAATGTATTTTTTACCTGTTATACTTATTCGTACAGATACCGCATAAATAACAAAACAAATAACAGTTAATATTTTTATATAAATTTTTTATTTCACTCCATTACTCCAAATATATTGAAGTATTAAATTTCTTTAATACCACGTAATACAACCAATCACATTTATACAAATGTATGTCATATTAAATAAAATAAAAATCTAATACATATTATTTTATTTTATTGGATAATAAACTCAAATACAGCCCTCCTTAATGAGTAACTACCAAGAGTCTGCATTAAATTACGTAAGCTAATTCCTAAATGTAAAATACAAATCGCAAGTCTCTTATTTCTAAGGCAAAGAAGATTAAAATATTCCGCTTGCGGACTTAACGTGCTTATTGCAGTTAAAATAGACTGATGCTTTGTATTTCTATATATATTTAGGAATTCTTACAGCAACACGAACGATTCGTCTGCAGACGACAACATCTCTGATTACGATTTTATACTCTATCGGTCGTCTTCGTCTTGCTTTTCATATATTACGTTGCAATGGTCTTGGTTGCGTTTAAACCGGCTAGAATGATGCCGCCAGACTAATTTTTGAAGCATTCCTCCGCCGACGAATCGTTCGTGTTGCCTATCGTTCGTGATTCAGAATAAGGCTGTTAATCAAAAGTTCGGAAACAGGTAATCACAAATAGATTTCGTATTTACTTAGAAATGTGTTATTAATTACCAATCACATACACCTTTTGTCTAAATATTTTAAACGCGACATTTTGACTTGATTTTTGTTTATTTAATTTTTTTTAAAAAGTATGTGTAACTTATTAGGTAACAAAACCCATCCAGATTTCGAACTTTTTATAAAAATTAGAAAGATTCAACAAAGTTTTATAAAAACTGCAAATTTGTTTTGTATAATAAAGTGCACGTTTGAAGTAGCTGAAAATGTTCGTTGATTTACGGTAAATCAACGAATGTTTTCAGCAACTTCACACTTGCACTTTATTATACTAAAATATAACGCGATATAAAACTGTATACCCAAAATCTTTTTTAGAAGTTCTAATTAAAAAATTTGAAGTTTTAATAAAGTTTGTTGAATATTTCTAATTTTTATAAATATTGAAATTTGGATTTATATGGGTTTTGTTAGATAATAAGTTATAAAGACTTTTTTGAAAAAATTAATGAACATTAGATAAACAAAAAACGGAAGTCAAAATGTCGCTTTTAAAATAATTAGACAAAAGCTGTATATTTACTGTATATAATGTAACGTTTAATAGGTGCTTAATAGATACTTAATTAAAAAGAGTTACGAATTACTCGAGTCAATTTACATCATTCAGTAGACTATTGTTTGTTCATTTAAACTGAAAAACAAAATCAAATAATGTAACAAAATATTTTAATTAAACCATAAAGAGAACTTACTGGCTGGTGACTGAACGATTTCCCAACAATTTCTTCTGTCGCCACCTGTTGTGGCTCAGCTCGACACATTTGCGGAGGATTTTTTCATAGGTGGGTCGTCCTTCAGATTGAAATACATCTGTAAAGAATTACGCAGAATTCAAAATGACATTGTTTGGAACTTATGTTTATCTATTTACTTTTAATAACTTGCATTTAAGATATAGTTCGACCCATAACAGATACCATATAAATAAGTTTCAAACCTTACACAAAGTTCACAAAAATTAATCAAATTTCTAAATATTTTCATCAAAGTTT